CCCCCCCCCCCCAAAAAAATGTAAATTTATCTATAAACAACCCATCCATTCCACCCTCCAAACACTCCTCAACCCCGAGTCTCACTATAATGCATATTGATCCCACCAACCCACCACGGCCTCAACCGACAACTCAAGAATTTTCGTTACAAACATATTCCTAAAAACCCATCGGCACGTCCTGAATCCGAATCTAAAAGAATCTCTCGACATCCTCAAAGGAATATTGCCAGTGACAAAATCAGTAACCATCGCAATGCAGCCGAGCGAATGGTCGTTGAATCATGTTATCATTCGCGAGATCGCTAATTACTCGTACGAGCGCGTAAAATTTACCTTCCCTACACGACCATGAAGACTTACTTTTTATTATACTCATACTGCCCATATAAATTTCTGCCCAAAAAACCAGCATGTCACAATTCCCACAGTTTCTTACTCGTAGCCGTGCAGTCCTTGAAATAAGCCCATGTACTTCGTAAAAGCTTGTCGATGAAAGATGGTGCTTTGATACTTTCCAGATATCAGATGTTGAGATGTCCAATCTTGCAGCCTTGCTTTGCTTACAGTACAATACATTTACACGTTATTGCTTCGGCCTTATACACGGTTGAATCAATCCATCATTTCCCCCAAGTCATGAACCGGTCGCTTTCATCTAGCCATCTAACCAATATCTACTCGTACCCAACGATCGGTGTGGTGCTGTGCCTACAGTATCGTACTTCATATAGGTGGTGATATTGCAAGGTCTGGTCAAGCAGATCGTCTACTCTTTCCAGACGACCGCTTGAATACATACCCTTTCTTTATCCGGCCATACACACACACACATCTCCCTAATCTTCACGCTTCCCCACAATCTGTAAATCTACCGGCACATGTTATTTCTGCACTCCGCAATACCGAAGCTCGACTTGTTTTGCATACCTAGTCAAACACGACAGATCGAGGAAGAGAGGGAACGGGACTTGGGTCTCCGATTTCATAAAGGTCTTCGGTGTGAGGTTTACCTTTCTAGCGAACAATGGTTGAACTGAAGAGGGAAATTCGCCAAGATGTGCCATATATATCACGCTCTCCAAAGGGGATAGCGTATCCGAGGAACGGAAGCCTCATATCCACTTCATGTCATGCATATGCTTGTGTGTCTAGTGGCGATTCATAATGACGCTCCCATCGTTCACTCGCACGGAGTGTCACCGCCCAGACGCCACCTTTGACGAGTCAGTGATTGCCGCACTCTTCCCATCAGGCTGCGAATTCCGTGGCCTCTGATTGGATGAGGGGCAAGGCGCAGTGGCCGTATCAAGGTGGTCTGGTGGGTCTCTATCAACAGCCTCTCAGAATAGGACGATAAGGCCGTGTCAGAGGCGACGGTGATTGGTGAGATTGGAACACACGACTCTTGGCGCGTCGGGAGTCGGGCAGCGCGGCGACGATCAAATAAAGTATCGTGGGTGCATTGCATCTTTTTTTGCTGTACTCGTACGGAGACTTCAGATACGAAGGAGGAGGGAGAAGACCACGAAACGCAGCGAGGAGCCAGGATGCTCTACAGTAGGTGATGGAGAGTTCGAAGAGTCATCATGATCACGTCGACCGCCGGCTGTCGACGGCTGTCGACAGCATAGCATCGCATAGTCTTCAGGCAAAGCAGTAGTGTCAAAGTCAGAAGTGACGAAGATGGAGTGAGGACGAGTGCAGTTCAGCAGAGAAATGGCCGAGGCGATGGTGGCTGGTGGGCCATAGACGCACCATACGCAAGCTAGGTAGGCACCCCCCGGCAACAGAACTGGATGAAGACCGGTTTGAAGAGGGTCAGGGACCCAGGGTCTGGTGTTTTTGCCTTTTCTATCATTGCCTCACTTCCGGATCAAGCTCTGGCCTGTGGACGATTCCAGTGATTGGGGCCGATAGTAGTGGTGGATCTGATGCGATAGATACCGGTATTCTTCCTGACATCGCTAGACCTCACGGTGGGGGGCCAATCAGCGCAGTGGCTGCTGCGTAGATGCTTGTTGTCGCTGGAAGACCCTCTGTCTGTGCTCGAGTCTGCTTGGTCTTGGTGTCTTGGAGTTCTGGATCCACCAGGCTACCCTCAGGGCCTCAGGTAGGGACTTGGGTACGAGTACTCAAGTACTAAGTCCCCTCTATCGGAGGCCACAGCTGCTCCAGTGTGATAGTAATAGTGCTACGCGCCCTCAACACCACTACTGCCTCCCACTCGTACTCTCACTCGCACTCCCACCCACTTGCTCCTTCCTGTACCGTAGCGATATACTTGAGCACTCAAGCACTCAGTGGTCACTGCTTCACTGCTTCACTGCTTCACTGCTTCACTGCTTCACTGCTTCACTTGCACTTGCACTTGCACTCGCACTCGCACTTGCCCATTCAGACAGTGACCATTGACACCGACACCGACATTGACATCGGAACTTCGCTCGCTTCCAGAACATTGGCGAGTGGTCTTGTGTGACCAAACCTCACTTATCGCTACTATCTATCATCAATTTTAATCCCGGCCACTCGCGACGGGCCGTCCTTTCCTGCTCCCACGTCTGGAGAGCAACAAGAGTACTCGGGTATAGGTCCAGAGGATCAGAACACCAAACCTCCCACCCGACACCTTCCCCCAGTAGTCGGTGCCAACCACGCGATCGTCGTCGACAAGTCGTCCGCGAGAATTCGCATCATCGCACGCAGCGCAATCAACAACCCCTGGTTCTTTTCCTCCCGAGCGTTGCACATTGTAGGCGAACGGTGTGGTGGCATTGGGATCCCAATTCATCCGATACTTGCCTCTGACCTTTTTTCCGCCCATCAGCCGAAGAATAGCTGGTGGTGGTTATCAGTACAACAAAAGGCTGTCCCACCGTCCAAGAAAGCCAGCGCCCACCGAAGACCAGACCCACGGTCGATAAGCCAATCCTACCCTCATCGTCTACCTACTAGAACACAAAAGGTTCACTGGGACCACCGAGCACCGCACGCGACGTCACTCAAATCCTCCCGTCACTACTCATTCTCACCCTCACTCAGTCCTTCGCACTACTCGAGTACACTACTCCACTACCCGACCGGCCCTTTCTCCCTACCTCTCTCCTTCTTCCCTCTCTCTCCCGTCCAATCCCACCTTTGATGTCTCGAGACCCAACTTCTTAGCTGTTCTCCCTCTCGTATATACTATACTATACTCGAATCGACAGCGGCAGTCGCAACAGCAGCACTATCTGAGCGCTGTACACGAATCCTCTCCCTCCCCTCACTCTCCGATAAGCCCCTCGAGGCTCCTCTTATAACCACCATGGCCACCAGCTTTGCCATGCCCGTGCAACAGTTCACGACATCTCCTACACAATATACCCTCTACAATCAGCAATCGCAGCATTCTCAGCAAACCAGTCCCATCAACTCAGCCGAAGCGACGCCCAGCAATGCCTCCCCGACTTCTCCTCGTTCCGCCCTACCGCCTCATTTCTCTGCGCCTAATCAACAACTGCGACCACCCAAGTCCCCTCTCTATGTGCCAGCCGTGCTGCGACCAACAGATCCTCCCAAGAGAGTCGCCAGATCCTCGCCCTTGACACCACCACAGAGCATGCACAGCAGCTTTGACGACCTGGACAACGCGCGAAAATTGAACCGGCGATCGACGGATGACAAGACGTTGACTTTGGGTTCGATCGTGGAAGCAGAATGGAGTGATCAAGGGTTCGGGAAGGTTACGGCATTGCCAACAAGAGAACACTGGAAGGTATGTTAGCAAATATTCCTTATGTTTTTCCCACGTTTGCGTGTGACAAAAAGCAAATTACAAATAGTTGGGACCGCCGTGATTCTTATGCTGAATGTTGCAATACCTTGATGGTGATTGCGTGCTGAAAGCACGTTAGTGATCCATGTCACCAAAAAAAACTCACCCCATCAATTGTTAGCTTGGCCAAGGAAGCTTGCATGTTCGAGTGTTGTTGCTCATCAGCTTGCTCGTTTAAATCGGCTCGCATATTTTCTGCCTTGTCTCGGACTCAATTTTTTCGCGTTTCGGCAAAAGATGCTGACAGCCCTTTTCTTAGCCGGACCCCGATTCTACTATCTGCGATGAGCCCACGTGCAAACGGTCCTTTACATATTTCACTCGTCGACATCATTGCCGGCGCTGTGGGAACATCTTCTGCGACCTACACTCAATGTATAATACTCCTCTTGATCAAGATGCCAATTACCATCCTCGAGGCTTCCGAAGTCGATCGTGTGAACATTGTTGGCACGAATATCGAAGTTGGCAATTGGCACGATCAAGTCGATCAAACAGTGAGAGTTCTCACGATGAACCAACTACACCAACCGTTAGCTGCGCTGGCAATGCTGCTCGTAATGCTCTAGGAGGTGTTTTTGGACAAAAGATTTCGGGATTACCCGAAAGTCTGGCAGCCAGTGTACCACGAGACTGGAACTGGAGCACGTTTTGAAAGAACCAAAGTACATACTACAAGCCACCAAGTTACATACGTTACCTACATATCAACAACCAAACTCGACGAAAACGGTCAGAAATAGAGATGGCAACATACACACCTTCGCTTTTTCTCTTCTCACGAACCGTTTGTTCTTTTCCGGAATATCCTGTCGGTCTTTGATTCATTTCTTCTTCTTGGGCAGGTTGATCTTGCTTTTGCTGTGGGCAAATACCCCTCTGCTGCGTCAATTTCGAAAGACTGTGGATTTATTTTAATAATATACCCTCGCCGCCAGACTTGTGTTGGAGCTTTTGCTTTTTCTTCATCTCGTTTTAGCGTTTCCTTTTAACCACGTTTACAACCTTTTATTCGCAAACCGACCTGACATGCGTATTTATGAGCCATTGAGCTTTCTTAGACACGAGTTTTCTTGTCGTTCAGATTCGAAATTTCATGTTTGATTTTTGTTCTGGTTTGCTTGAGAGATTCGAGTTTGGGTTTTCCTTCTTGATCGAGTGCGCGTTTCTCAGAAGACATAGAAGATGGAATGAGTAATGGTTCTTACACCTTACTCATGGCCTCATTTTTGGGTCTGGCGTTTTTGGGGGTTCTTGCGATATCTTTTTGCTTTTTATGCGGCCAATGGCTAGATGAGATTTTTTTTTTGCTGATGCTGCTGCTGGGGAGGGATGAGTGGATGGCATAATATCTGTGTCTTGTATCTTCTTGTCCAAGAGATTTGGGATGGTGGATGATGGTGATTTGTTGTTCAAATCAAGGTTTTGCCTCATGAAGATGCTGGGATGATGGCGTTGAGAAGAGGGAATAGCAATAGGAATGAATTGATGAAGAGAATTCTTATATCCATCTAATTTTTTGGGGGGCGGGGG